TGAGAGACTCGCGGATATAACTTTTCAGGTCACTTTATCGACTTCTAGATCCTTGTCCAACTCTTTTTGAGGATTGACTGCATTGTAAGCTCATAGAAGCAGTACTGAAACGAAGCTGTAACCCTCAGTAACAGTTGATTGCATAGAAAGAACATAAAAATGCATTTTTGAGCCATTATTGTCAGCTGTAAAAATTAGCATAATCTCAGAAGCGCTAGTCCGTCCCTGGAGAAGTGAACTGTTTTCGATTGACATCATCATGTGAGGCTTGTACTAGTTGCTATACTGTTAAAATTTCATTGCATTGTTCGATATGGTTGAAAGAACTGATTTCCGATGTCTGAATTTTTTTACACAAACTTGTGACATTATTACTTGGTGTTTTATATGCGTCCGAGGCTTTGCTGTTTAATTCTGCGACACCAGGTTTAGAAGTGGTCCGTCCAAATTGGTGAAAATAATGATACAGAGCCAGCTCACTTAAGACTAATGTCGTTCGTTAATGAGATACAAAGTGTGAAGTTTAATTTTCGGAATCATTTTTTTGTATAACTCAATCTCTTTTTGTGATATAGAATTGGAAATGATGGGTTTGATAATAAAATTTTTAACTGAAAGTTGTTCAACGTTATTTCGCGGAGTCACATATCCGGTAGCAAAACAGTTCGTTAAGTATGGAATATTTTGTAGACGAGAAATGAACATAGTCATGAGTATTTGACAATATCATTGTGAAATATCCCCAGCAACGTTCATCTTATTTATATGTATAATATGTTTCACAATTAACCAGTTGTTTCTGTAGAGTACTTTATTCCTTATAACTATAATAATTTGCAGGCGATAATAATGGAATGGAATATTAACTACATCTTATTTTGAGCACATCAAAAAACAATAAAAGTTTTCCGACACGATTCTAGGTATCAAACGATGTCCGAGAGAACATGGTGTTGCATCTTTTCTTCTTCCCCATCGTCGCATGCAGACGCTACCGTAGATTCTAAAACGGGACCCCTCATACCGTTACGGGCCGTAACGTCTGTTTATGAATACGGAGATGATTCTCTCATGAAAAGCGCCCTACGATCTTCACCCCTTGACACGGACAATTAGACGTGGTCCCGAATCCAAGCAAAGACTGAGCAGAAGCCAATGGGGTCGAGAAGCATCACATACATGCGCATAAAAAAATAAGGAAGAGTATAAGAGGGTGACATGGGGATGAAGATGGAATGAGTGAATGCCGTTCGTTGCTTCTGTCTTGTTTTGTTTGTTGGATGCACGTAGCAGAATGAGAATGATAAATCCGGTGTTTCGCGTTGAACGTTGATCAAATTCAAATTCAGGTTCTTTGTTATCCTGAGAGACGTTGCAACTGTATGTATAGGATTCTTCAGAGTAAAAACTAATGAAACACACAAAATAAATATATGTAACAAACAAAACAAACACACAAAGAGATCATACAATAGCAAATTCAGAGACGGCGTAATAACATTTAATTACAAGAAAGTCTGTCAGTTTAGCCTTAAAATTATGTAAATATATCTCCACAGTCTTTTATGTGATTTGGTTAACCTATTGAACATTTGTGGATCCAGTATTTCCAAAGCCCTGACGCCGATCTTATATTTAGAAAAACAAATTTATGTTTCCAGCTTACCTGGACGACTACGAATTAAAATTGCTCAAAAACCTATTTTGGTGAATAATAATAATAATAATAAGAATAATAACAATAATAATAATAATAAACGTCTTTATTAAGTAATATATACAAAACATGTGTATATAGATAAAATGTAAGTATAGTGACGAAGTTTAGCAAGATGCTACTCTAACACTTAAGCACTAAAGTTAAATATTACGTTGTTAACAGTTAACACAAACAAAAGGCAAAATATATATATAACAAATCAGCCATATGAGAAGTGAAAAATGAGATATTTTGTGTGCACATACTGCTACTCTAAAAATATGTATGAAATATTGAGGGAAAAGTTAATCGTTCACATAACTCAACTTAACGTTGTAGCGGAAACGTGGTAAACTCATGGTCTTAAATTTACTGTCCAAAGAATTATACAGGTCCATTGCTGCAACGTTATATGAGAAACTTCGTTGGAACAGAGATGTTGTATGCTTCGGAATTCTGATAACGTGTCTCTAATAGCTCTATCGTGAATAATGTTATTAAACATTATTTTTTCACATAGGTATTCTGACTGAAAATTAATTAAAATTTTATGGATAAATGTGGAAAAATGTAACTTGACCAACTGGTCAAACTTTAGCCATCTCAACTCTGCATATTTGTGAGAGACATGGTCGAACTTTATCATGCCGAATATAAAGCGAACACAGCTGTTTTGAATCAATTCGATTGTGTGTTTAATGATCTGATCCAAACAGGGAAAATATAAAATACTGCAGTAGTTCAAGACAGACGCAACGAAGCTTTCGCAAAGCTTTTTCCTCATTTTGAAGTTTAGCAGATATCTGTTTGAATAAAAACTGCGTAAACGTGCATAGGTTTTTTGTGTCAGATTTCTTACATGTTCGGTAAATCTTAGTTTTGTATCAGTTTCTACATCCAATATTTTTGCGGTATTGGTGAGCTCGAGCTGCTTATTGTCTATGTTCACATTTAAGAGCGAAACAACGTCGTTTCTTCTGCTGTCAGAACAAAACAATAAAATCGTAGATTTTTCCGGGTTTATGCTGAGGTTGTGATCTGCTGAATATTTGCATAGACTATCAATATCTGCTTGTAATACTTGGACAGTGCTCTGTATATCTTCTATACCGAAACAATGGGAGAGCTGGATGTCACCAGCGAACGATTGAATATCAGAGTTGTAAACTAATCTAGATAAGTAAAATGTATATATTAAAAACAAAAGAGGTCCCAAAATAGAACCCTGAGGTACTCCTGAAGGTATGCGAGTGACATCAGATGTAATACCCTTCACTGAAACACATTGAGTCCTGTTTTTAAGATAGCTTTCAACAAATTTGACCACAACCTCATCACAACCAACAGAACGTAGCTTAGCACATAAAAGTTTATGATCTATCTTATCGAAGTAGTCGACTGATACTCGTATTAAAGCTAAACCCATTTTTTTGTCAAGAACGCGAAAGATGTTGTCGCATATGTTTAATAAAGCCGATGTTATATTGTAATGTTTTCTAAATCCCGACTGATTAGGTGGGATTATCTGATGTACTTCAATGTATGATGTAAGTTGAACAATCTTCTCAAGGATTTTTTACAAAATAGGTAGTAAACTAATTGGTCGGAGATCTGATAGGAGATCGGGTTTCAAAATTTTTGCTATGGGTATTATCAGTGCTTGCTTCCAAATTTTAGGGAAGTAACCGGGTTCAAGACATAGATGGATAATGTGAACTAAGTGGAAAAATATAACGGGTAGGCTTACCTTTACCATAGTTGGCATAATACCATCTATTCCTTTGTCATCTGATTTAAGAGATTTAATTGTTTGTAGAATTTCTGAAGGACCAATGATTCTGAATGAAAAAGAATCAGGTGGAAAGAAGTGACGATTTTTGTATAGGTGACATAATACTTCCGAGGCATTATTTGTACTGTAAACTGACATAAAATAGTCATTGATTTCATTTGGATCAGATAGATTATCTGGAAGAGGGGGTTTTGTCCGAGAATGTATATTAAGCTGCTTTAAGCCAATCGAAACCTTTTTTCGTCATTCTGTTCAGATAAAAAATGTAGATATGCTCTTTTCTCCTTCCTCGCCTGAGTAAGCTCGTGATTTCTTTTTTGCTTGTAAATATTTAGGTTTTCTACAGTTTTATTTGTTTTATATGTAGTATGGGCAATATCTCTTTCTTTAAGAACGTTACGTAGGCGGGGAGATAGCCATGGAGCAGGTGGTAGTTACAGGAGCATTTTTATCATAGACTCTCATCAGTGTATTTGTTAGGAACTCCACTTTAGCATCTATATGGTTCATAAAAAATAAGTCGTTTAAATTTTCAGAAGCTAAGTCACTTAGAAAATATTCCTCGTTGAAGCATTTGAAGTTCCTTACAGTTACAAACCTTTGTTTATTTTTCAAATCACGAATGGAGAGAGTGCACGATACCATTTTGTGGTCAGATATGCCGTTAGAATCGAGAACCAAACAGTCGAAAATAATGTCTGGTTTATTAGTAAAAACTGGATCTAATAAGGATGCTGTGTTACTTGTCACTCCAGTAGGATCACTGACAATTTGAGAAAAACCCACCATTTGAAAGCATGGAGAAAGGCCGTTGTTGCCGCTCAAAATATCAATATTCAGATCTCCTACAATAACAATGTTATCAAAATTGTTTGACAATAACGGTAACTTGAGATCTAGAGCGCTGATGCAATCATTGAGGTTTTGTGAGGGTGGTCTATACAATACGCCCAAAAGCAAAAGGTGTATGAAGCGAGAAAAGGAAAAAGGAGAATTAACCATACCTCTTAGCTGTTTATTTGAGAGAGTAGCTGAAGCTACAGGTGTATCCATAAATACTGTGAAGCGTGTTGTTAAAAAAAATCACTCCAAACCAATAAAATACAAAATTTACTTCTCCTCGAAAAATCATAAACAAATCTAGCCCAAAGTCATCAGTGGATCAATTTGATGAAGAAATTATCAGAAATGTTATATACAAGTTCGTGCATACCCATAAAAGGAGACCTACAATGAAGGCGGTGTAAGATGCTGTTATCAACGATTGTGTAACACATAATGGAAAGCTCTCGTCATTCAGGAAAATAGTACGCAAATTAGGCTTCCATTGGAAAAGAACAGAAGATAACAGGGCGGTACTGATTGAAAAGCCGGATATCAGAGCGAAACGGAGACAACACTTGAAAAGACTGAAAGAGTACATTTCCAAACGACGATACAAAATTTATGATGTTTTAGAGTATAAGAGGACTTTTTTGTTATCTTTTAACCATAAAAAAACTTTTGTAGGCAGAAATATCGTTTACAATGACGAAACATACATGAATAGCTCACACACAGTACCGAAAGCATGGGATGATGGAACAGATAATTGATTAGAAGCACCACTTGTAAAAGGCAAACGTTTAATCATTGTACATTGTGGGGGTAGGGTTTTGTTCACAATGCAGACCTCATATTTAAATCAGGTTTAAAAACAGGCGACTATCATGTTGATATGAATCATGAAAATCATAAAAAATGGGTACAAGAAAAACTAATACCAAATGTAGAACCAAATTCTCTATTAATAATTGACAGTGCATCCTACCATAATGATCCGATAGACCGTAATCCAACGGCTGCTTGGAAAGAAGCAGATATGCAGAAATGGCTCACTGAAAAGCATATCCCTTTTGATAATAATATCACAAAAGCTGAACTTCATCGTTTAATACAAACACACAAGCCATTGAACAAAATTTATGCAGTAGATTTCTGCTCTTGCCTCCCTACCATCCAGAACTAAACCCTATAGAGAATCTGGAGAAACGTTTGCGACCATGTATCAAGAGTGGAGGAAGAATACCTAGGTCGGGAATATATAATGGATAATGTCAAGGAATTTATTATAAGAAGAGGCTATGACAGCGATGATTCTGACCTACAGCTGCATCAAATAGTAGCAAAGAAAATGAAGACGATTTAGGATGCCAACCACTTAGCTGTGGGACTTCTATCTCAGTCTAATTTTTCAGATATGTTATTTTGTTTATTACGTATAAATATATTTTAGTGTTTTCGAATAAATTGTGTATTAGCCGGCTTTCGTCAGTAATTTGTCATAATGATTAATTCACTTTGTCAACTTCTGGGAATGTCAAAAAAAACTGACAAGGAAATCCTTATATTTCATTTAATCACAAAGTAAGTAGAGTAGTTATGTTTGTTTTTTAACTCTCTTTTTTCTAGATATTTATTACAATGCTTATAGAATTAAGAAATTTCCGTAATCATGAAATTACACACAAACATGGTATATGCTAGGATGCAGGCGTTCAAGTCTGTTCGATTGCATAAAACCTTTAACTACGCCACTGTACAGACATACACCTTGTAGGGCAATATCCCTAATCTGTGTCCACCCCCCCCCCCCTCTTGCGTATTGCGCGAGTCACGAGAAAGCGTACTAGCTCTACCCGTACTATTATAATTCATACTAACCTATTACATCACGACAAATTTAATGTCGTAAATTACAGGTAGCCTATTTATCGTGAAAAATGTATGCTCTACAAAGTGTATAACATGCATATGTGTATGTAAATAAGGAATGAAGCATGAGAATAGCAAGACCCACATTGTTATTTCCAAAATGTTGAGCACGAATAGTCCAGGAACTATCTGCTCGAAAGAAATCTGATTCGGTTATTCTGCAAAATCTTATTCAAAAAGGACCACTTTTAAAGGATCTGCATGATGCCAGGAACAGAATAGCGTCTGAAACTGTTGGTAATTATAATTTTTATGAAATCCAAAAATTGTTTTTCGGAGTTTTTTGGGTCGTTATCGACAAAAAAGGTACGGGTTTTTGGTCAAATATTACTCGGGTCCGAAATGTCTTGGATACCCGGGCACCCGGGTGCAAAACCCCCACTACTGCCATTCATCTTTCATTATATTTGAACGATTTTGTTCATTTAGAAGTACCGTCACTGGACTTATTCCCAAAACTGGCAAAGCCCCAGCACGACGAGTTTCATGAAAACCCAAAGGATATTTTTCGAGTTATGGGGTATCAGGATTTCCAAACACACGACAACAATGTACGCACATCTAGCAAGGATGTCTTTTTACCTGTGTCATATAACACCGAGTTCGAACATTATCGCGAGTTTATTGCTTCGTTTAGGTAGTCGTAGATTATGAAAATTGATTCAGATGCGACGGAAATAAAATCGCTGGAACCTAGTGTAGCAACGGTTAAGAGATTCCTGCTCATTTTCAGACATTTTTTGGAGGAGATGAAAATTGTGGGTAGGAAGCTGTAAGGAGGTGCTGATTTCAGTGATACAATGCCTGTTAGACATAACAAGTCTCACATATTTTCCTTGCATCTCCCATGGAAACAGAAATATGATAGATTTGCTTGATGTACTTTGTCCAATAAGTATCACGACAAACTTAAGGAGAAGGTAGGCCTTGGACACCCAAATAACAAAAACTCACCTATATAAAAATGTCACCGTTTTCGAGATATTGATTTTTTTCTTAAATTTTACAAAAACGAGCCCTTCCATCTGTAGTCTTTAGCTGCATGTACAAATAAGGTTATACTTTGTTCATTTTTTCTATATAATACTTCTAGATAGTTACTTTATCATATATAAATGCAATGTAGTTAAAAGATATTAAGGAACCATGATCAAATAAGGACTATTTTGGGATTTATAACCTTCTGATATTTTTTCCTCAACTTTGACCATCTGTGATGAAACAAAAATGTACTGGGCTCTAACTGTATTATACTGAATAAAAAGATTGCTTATTGAATACAGATTTCAGAAAGGCACCACACGAACTATTTGGAATAGAAAGAAGTGATAGCTGCTTTTGTAAGTGACTGACACACACTACAATGTAATTATTGGATTTAAATTCCGGTTGCACTGGTTACCGATCAGTGACATGCGAAATAGTACAAAGCTACTTTATTGCTACCTTCTCCTGATATGATTTTATGAAAGTTGAGGAAACAGAAGGTTATACATCCCGAAACAGTCCTTATTTTATCATGGTTCTTTAATATCTTTTAACTACATTGCGTTTGTATATGATAAAGCAACTATCTAAAAGTATTTTATAGAAGAAATGAACAAAGTATAACCTTATTTGTACATGCAGCTAAAGACCACAGACGAAAAGGTTCGTTTTATAAAATTTAAGATAAAATTCATTATCTCAAAAACGGTGAGGTATATAGGTAAGTTTTTGTTTTTTGGGAGGTCAGTCCAAAGCCTGCCTTCTCCTTAAGTTTGTCGTGGTACCTATTGGACACCCTCTATAGAGGTCGAAGTTACGTAATACCTAATCACGATTATATTTCGCCTGATGAAACGATTTGACTCATCCCTTTCTTTGAAACCTCCAACGAAGGCGTAGGTAGTATAGAGTCAAACTACTTAACGCATTCTTTTTAATTTCTTTACGAGTCAAATTAGCATGCAGAAATTTTGGGTGATGAAGTTGATGCATGAGTACTATAATTTAAAGGTGGCAATTGGTGGTGGTGGTAGTAATTGAAAATTTCAATATGACAGAAGGGCGGAACGTCAAACTTGAGCATTTGTGTCCAGATACATTATGTGGATTTTTTTTAGCTTTGCGGTTAGATATCCAAATGAATCATAAATTCATGAAGACATTGTGCGTGGCAAGACCTATACGACACTGCTGAGTTGCTAATGACCATGGAACAGCGCTGTCTGCAGTTGGTCGTGGTTACAGAGACGGTGAGCAAATATGTCCATTCCAATTATGTCTATTTGCGGTAATATCTCTTTCCTCGTAATTGAACAAAATTTGGAAAAGAGTATTAGATACAAAATACAGTGGATCTACAATTGCGCTGCTCATATAAAATTAAATACCTCAAAGATATTCTGACAGAGAGAGATATTTCTTTACACCTTATTCCATGCCTTGATCGAACCACATTTGACCTACGGTATATTGACAAGGGGAGCTGCATTCTCAACTCATATTTATCATTTGGAAGTCTTCCAAAAAATGATTCTAAAACAATGTTTCACAAACCAAAATTATATCTCACTGATGTCTTATATAAGATCGTATATGACCTAAACAACTTTACCTGTTATCAATTATCACAATTACCAGTAACGACCAAAAATCAAATACTCTTACATTCACCATACAAGACGTAATCTACGAGGAGCGTTTGCACCTAGACCTAACAAATATATAACACACCGAGCATACCTTAGCACCAAAATTATACGCAAAATTTACCTGTCAATATAAAGAACCTACACTTTGGGAGTGGTTTCAAAAAAATCAAAAAATTTATATTTTTTCAGCAAGGTCAGACATACACAAAATAATAGTGAATGTAAACATTAAACGATTCGTTGAATAGTTGTATCATTATTTGCGTTTTAATTCTACGCACAGTTGCAACACTAATGGTCCACCTACATGCAATGCCTCCTATGGACCCTTATGTCATATTTATCTACTCATTTTTCATATTGGACTTAAGAAGTAAATAAATATTATTATTGTTATTATTATTTTATATATGCATGGATGGTCTGCTCTGTGAATACTTGGTATTCTGGCTGGTAGATGGGTTGACCGTTTTGGTGGTGCGACATATATCTGCGCATTGCTCAGATCGTCGAACAGTTATGGACCGGCAGCGGAGGGATCTTCTGTCACTTTTCATGGGATGAAGAAGGATCAACTTAACCAACCATTGGTAGGTGGCGATCGTCCGATTCTCAGTCTACCTCCGCTGATGCACCTTGTTCGACGTCCTCATAGCGCTTCAACACATAGGTATTATCATCAAAATAGATATAAGATATAGAGATCAGTCAGCCACTTTAACAAACGATATCTCCAACACTCATAAGCTGCAGGCATATTTATCATAATTTCTTCCTTCATTCTCTTTTGCATCGTAGCACCTCTCCTCCCCCATTGAGACCCATGGGCTTCCCTGAACTCTTATGTACGCCACTGTACGCTAGAAGTATAAGTAGAGTTCTTCGGGTTCACAACCTGTAATTAAAATATTTCAAAATAAAAAATATTCCGTTATGCGCAGATATAGATAAGAATAACATAAATTAGGTGTGAGTTTATAAAATATTAACAATTAATTGATTAATTCACATCAACATATCTTATCAAGTTAGCAATACATATGCATGAGAAGTTAACATGCTGAGTTATCCACTTATTTTATTTTAGTCAGGTATTAGCGATTATTAAACCATTACCAAGTTGGAAGTGAACTAGTAATATTGCTTTCGTCCATCTGATCACAGGCGACCAACCATGGACAGCAGTTTTGTGATATATGGCAACTCTTCAGCATGGCCTAGGCTTGGTCTCAGGTAGGATAACGAACGGAAGCTGGTCAACTATCCTCTGTCCAAGATATCAGGTTTATCAACATAAGGCAGCGAAAGTGCCATCCATCTATTATCAGAATCGGCCACAGAGAGAGTGAAACAGCAAGATCTGTTGGAGCGTGTTCGTATTAGAAGGCCAGGTCACTACTGAGGCTGCTAAATTCTGAGGATATAGTTGATACTTCCATTCGCCATTGAACACACTACTTATATGGCTTCCGTCTGTGTGACCACAGACAGCCCACCGTGAACATCCTGCACAGGGGACAGCGCAGCTGTTGAGCGTTGAGACCAAGCCTAGATTATGCTGATGAGTGGCCAAAAATCATAGCTATTTATATCACTATACCAAAGTAAAATGGTGGACTTATTGAAACTTATTCCTCGGTTTTGTATACTGAGTGACAAAAAAAGGTAAACACCTACGTATGTTTATCCGATTTTAATAATTTTTGGCATATATGTTTAGTGTCCCTTACTAGTGAAATGATTAGTTTTTCAGCTTGATACGTCGACTGACTGCAGAAGCTGGTTCAATAATGTGTTGAGGATCCACGATTTCTTACACACTCATTGACACGCCTGGGCATCGTGCTGATAAGGTGGTCGATATCCTGTTAGGGTATCTCATTCCAGGCTACTGAGACTTCGTGGGTAAGAGCTGTGGAGGGTGTTGCAAATTTAAGAGCCCGCGACCTATCATGTCCCTCAATTGGAGATAGGTCAGGTTATCGTGGTGACCAAGGTAAACGGTTGATGCGATGTTGATCCATGAAGGCTAACGATGCTCTGGCAACATGCGGTCTGGCATTGTCTAGCGAGTTTTGGATGGTGTTTAGGTTTGGAATAAGATGAGGCTCCACTACTTCCAGAATAAAGCGCCGGGCTGTCATATTGCCTCTGATGAAAATTAGTGGTGATCTGCTACCTTAACTCCCACGGTGTGGTGAACGTGACACTCTCTGTCAAATTGTGGGTCACGTCTTTCACCAGGTCGCCTTATCACTCTTGCCCGACCATCGTGCATCCCCAGACAGAAGCGGCATCCGTCACTAAAGACCACTTGATTCCATGTTCAGCTGTGATAGGTAGCACCCGATGCGGGCGATAAGAAAAAAGGCCAAACTGTCGTATTCGGCGATATACCGTATGCATACCAACCATCCTTCCATGCTCTTCAAACCACTGATTAGCGATGGCTCGAGTACTACTGAATCTGTCTCTCAGAGCCAGAAGTCTTAATAGGCGGACTTGTCGCTGTGGTCCCTCTGGGACGTCCAGAACCCCTCGCTCGCCGTCCTCGACCTTCCTGAGTCGACGCTCGTTCACACTGCAGTATACTGCGTAAGGATCTGTTGGTTCTCCTAGAAACTTCTCTTATCGATAGACCGGCATTTTGAGCAATCACAAAAAGCTACACGATATTTAACATTTAACTGATACCGTAAATGTACGAAAACTGAATGCTTCTTTATCAACAAACAATATACGCAGCCACCACAAAAACTTAACAGAAAAACCTGACCATTTTATCACTTGTTGTTCATGGAAGATAAATCAATACGTGAAAAATTCTTGATTTCTGATAAACATACGTAGGTGTTTAACTTTTTTGTCACTCAGTATATTTAACATTACGACTTCAATGCAATCGGTACCATCACTTATTTTCAATTGCCACACATATGTATGCGTCTCAGAAGATAGATATTATTGTATTGTTTAGAATCGTAGTGAGTGATGCTACCTCATTATTTAAAATTTAGCTATGAGCAAAGAATGGTGTCAAGTGGCCTGACTCTATTCTCCCTACGCCTTCGTTGGAGGTTTCAAAGAAAAGGGATAAGTAAAATCGTTTCAAAAAGCGAAATCGAAACGTTATTAGTTAGCTTCACTTGGGTACGATGAATCTACGACCTCCGCGTATTAAGCATCCCACAAACCGGCGCGAAATAATCGCGGCGAAGTATTCGCAACGAAATTCAGAGCGAAATTCGCAATCTGTTTCGCCTGTTTATTCATACCAAAGCGTCTTATTCGCTCCGCGAACGTGAAGGTTTCGACAGGTTGCGTACATTTTATTTTTGCCTTTTGCAATGAGCTCGTCTTCAGAAGAAGAGGAGGCACTTCTATTTCTTGCTTTAGAAGAGGAACAAAATGCACGGTAAGTTATGGTTATTTAACGCCATTTGATAGTTGGGTATGTATTAAGTTTAACGAAGTACATAAAACAAATATTTTCAATTTTGTTTAGGAAACGACGGAAGTGGGTACATGATATTAACTTGGAACGAAATAAATTTGGGGAATACCATACCTTGATGCCACAACTTCGGCTGGATGAACGGCGCTTTTACGTATATTTTAGAATGACTCCAGAGTGTTTCGATGAAATATTGAACTTGGTGAAAGATGAAATACGAAAATCTGACACAAATTATCATGAAGCTATGTCGCCAGAAGAACGACTTGCTATTACACTCAGATAAAAAAATTATATGTATTAAAATTAGTAGGGTTATCGAATACGAAAACTTCAGGGATCGCGAAATAAATATTTTATTGTAATAATTGGACTACAAGTTGCCACTAGGATTAAATGTTGCTAAATAATTCGAGGCAGAATTTGCCTCCTCTGTTGGGTATATTATTGGAGTAAACCCAGTGCCGCTTGGGAAGGACGACATACTACTATCATACATACTTGCAGAATTCTGGGTAGACGCTGAAGACATTTCTTCAATATGTTCAAATTCTTCGTGCGCTATTAATTCGGCTATTTTTAGTTTTATTCGGGCTTGACGCTTTAAGGGAAGTGTTTTCACAGTCTGTGCATGTGCCAAGAAAAGTGAATCAATGGCCTCGTTCTCTTTTTTAGGTTTTTTACCTTCAAAATAATTAATGAGTTGTTGTACAGACGAAGATGGTGGTTCATAGCGTTTTCTGCTCGTTTTATATTTTGGTGTAGTTGCAGTCTGCGGAAAGGTGTGCCCTGGGGTAGTCACTGCTGTAGTGTTCAATGAAGAAGGTGGTGCTGTCTGTGTTGCCGAGGCGTTCTGTGCATCTTCTGCATCTACATCAGCATTTTCATCTTCTCCATGGCCGCGGTCTTCCAAATTTTCGGTTTCTACATTTCCAGCCCTTTCCTGATATATATTTGAGTTAAATTCGGCAGTCTCATAATGTATGACGTCAATATATTTCACATTAGACGACGTTTTGGCAAATGCCAAAAAAGGACGGAAAAATTCCATGTAGTCAGCCCACTGCCATTTCTTTATGTTGCCCACTGCTTGGCCGGTCTTTGGTTTGGTAGATTTTATATATTTTGCAAATGTATCTCTCATATTCTTCCACCTTTTTTTTACTTCATCACCTAAAAACGATTTTTTTTTATAGATTCCTTGCCACTGGTGACACCTTCTCTACCATTGGGCATAGCTTTCGAGTTGGCTTTACAACAGTGAGTGCAATCGTAACCGAAGTCTGTGAAGCGATATGCAGACATATGGAACATATATATTTACCAGAACCAACAGAGAATATATGGAAAAAATGTGCTGAAGAATTTGAAAATAGATGGGGATTTCCCAATTGCATTGGCAGCGTGGACGGTAAACATGTAACAATCAAGAGACCTAACAACAGTGGCTCCAATTACTGGTGCTATTTACATAAATAGTCAATAGTACTTATGGCCATTGTTGGCCCGGACTATAAATTTATATGTGTTGATATTGGTGGTTTCGGAAAAAATAGTGATGGGGGTATTTTCGAAACCTCAAACATGGGAAAACGATTTGAACAAAATTTAATGAGTGTCCCTGCACCTAGATTTCTCCCTGGGCAAAATGAAATCTGCTCGTACGTCTTAATTGGTGATGAAGCATTTGCTTTAAAACCATACCTTATGAGACCATTTCCTTATAAGCAGACTTTAACAGACGTCAGAAAAGAGAAATACAATGTAAGACTTTGTCGAGCTAGAAGGGTCGTGGAAAATGCGTTTGGTATTTTGTCTCAAAAATGGCGAATATTTTACAGGCCATTAGAAACTAAAGTAGATACTACTATTCTAATTGTACGTACGGCATGTGTTTTACACAATTTTTTACGAAGTAAAAGTGGCGATGATAAATATTTTCAATTCTTAGATCCCCCAGAACCCGTGCTTGGAGCTTTTACTGATATAGCAAATAATCCTCGGCGGGAAGCAAGGCTAGCATTTTCTACTCGTGACAAATTCGTAAATTATTTTAATTCTGATATGCCTATGCCCAATATATAGAATGTTCGTTTTCACATTTGTGTAGACTGTAAATTATTTAACAAGTTAATAAAAAATATTAGGTACATACCATTTGTATTTCTTTTCCTATTTCCATCCAAATCTTGTCTTTCTTTCTCACATTCCTGTATTCATCGTTCGACAAATCATACAAACAAGGATACTTTTTCACTATTTCTATCAATAATTCCGTTTTTGCCATTGCGAATTTTTGAAGAACGGCGTCAAAAACGCGGTCATAGGCGAACTGAAATACGCCGCGATAAAAACGCTGGAACAATCGCATTCGCTTCGCACAAGTCTGAGCCTGTCCGTAATCCGCCGCGTTTTAATCTGATCGCGAATTCATCACCGCG